AGCCAGTTCTCTCCGGTTTGGGCGAACTGGTAGTGGCAGGGGGGGGGGGGTTCGCCCCCCCCCCCCGCCCCGACATAATGCACGATATTCTGCACATTTGCAAACTGGTAGGGAAGTGAATCCCACTGCTGGTGAGAACCGGCACATAGTTATGGGTCCTAGCCAGAGTGGGTTTCTACGGGTTCGGACCGGTTTGGCCGAGTAGGTAGTAACTTGTCCTGCTACACCCCCGAACTGATTCTCATGGTGGCGCTGTAGGCACCCTCATCTTATTTTTTTTCTGTGCATGCGCAGAAACTTTTTTTTTAGTACTGCACATGCACATGTAGGGCACAGCACATCCCTGAGTGAACCAGCAGTAACAGCAGCTGGAACCCACCCCTAGTCCTGACTTGTATCTGAATCAGGAGATTTCTTCACGGCATTACAAATTTCCCCAGTAAAAACAGGCATGTACTAATAACAAGGGGACATTTTCGTAAATATACCAGTAGCATCAAATATTACCTGGGATTACCTCTATTTCTCTCAGGGACATACAGAATCTTCCTCTCTCCCGTACAGACTTTCTTGAATTCGACCGTTCCTGCTTGCTCCTTATTTCCTCCTCCCTCCCAACCCCCCTTTTCTACCACTTTGGGGAATAATTTAACATGTTACACACTAACTTTCCTATAATGGCATTTTGGCTTTTGAAATTCTGCCTCCCTCTTTTATGGCCAGCCCTCTAATGGTTCTCTCACAGGCCTGCCTCTGGCAATCATGTAGGGAATAAATAGAAGCTGACACAGTAATTTACTTAAATCTTCTCCACACTTTTGCAGCATTTTTCTCCAGAGAATACCCTCAAAACAACAATTATTTGAAATGTCACACGTTCCTGCCCCTAGGCGGCCAACAAATGAACATTAAATCTATTAACAACAACTAAAAAAATTAAATGTTTACTTTTCTGAGAAGGTGAGGAGAAGGTGGGAGAGGGAAAGCTGCCTCTAATAAATTTATACTCAATAATAAAGAGGTGTAGTTAATGTTCTCTCTCTACTGAGCCCACATCGGCAGGAAGAGAAGGAGGGCAAGTGGCTGATAAGAGCTGGTCTACTGTACGATGCCAGAAGCTGCCTGGATTTCTTTGCCCTGGAAAAGAGGTTGAGGTCCATTGCACAAGTGGATGATTGTATAAGGCCACATTAAAAAGTCGTGGCAGAATATTGTATAATGTATAAGCCATCGACACCACCTCCTCCCCTGGATCAAATTATGCTGGAGAAGTACTTTGCTAGATATAATGTGTTGCCATGATCCTGATTTTCACAGAATTAAAAAAAGAGAGAAACAAGAGAGAGATTAGGACTTTATTGTGCACAGCAGTATGTGGTTAAGTAAAGGTGAAGGTTCCCCTCGCACATATGTGCTAGTTGTTCCCGACTCTAGGGGGCTTATCTCTGTTTCAAAGCCAAAGAGCCAGCACTGTCCAAAGACGTCTCCATGGCCATGTGGCCGGCATGACTAAATGCCAAAGGCGCATGGACTACTGCTACCGTCCCACCAAAAGTGGTTCCTATTTTTCTACTTGCATTTTTATGTGCTTTCAAACTGCTAGGTTGGCAGAAGCTGGGGCAAGTAACGGAAGCTCGCTAGGGACTTGAACTGCTGAACTGCCGACCCTTTCTGATTGACAAGCTCAGCGTCTTAGCCACTGAGCCATCGCATCCCTTAGTATGTGATTATATGGTAGCAAAATGTGGCATGCTTCGGATGAGCATCTCAACTGCATTTTCATACATGGACATTTAAATGCTCAACCTCTCACTCCCTCACATATCTCTCTCTCTCTCTCTCTCTCTCACACACACACACACACACACACACACACACACAC